TACCCGCATCTGCAGGACCTCGTTTTAGCGGACCCTGATCCGAGTTTAGATCTCCCTGTAGATCTCTTAATCGGGGCCGATCGTTACGGTGATGTGATCGGTCCCGGCCTGCGCCGCGGAACACCCGGCCAATCGCGCAGGATACCGTATTCGGTTGGGTCGTTTCGGACGCCGCGTCGACACCCGCGAACGATCCCGATCCCTCCGTGGCGTCCCTGCACTGTCGCGCGGAGGAGAAGTTGGAGCAGCAACTGCGATTGTTCTGGGAGCTCGAGGAGGCGAGTCCCAAGTCTGTCCTTTCCCCTGACGAGTCGAGGTGCGAGGAACATTTCGTCAACACCGTCTCACGGCGGGCGGACGGACGATACGTGGTTCGGTTGCCCCTGCGTACCGAACCACCCCTCGCTCTCGGCTCGTCAAAGGGCCGTGCCCTAGCCATGCTGCGTGGAGTCGAGCGGCGACTCAGGGGCGACAGTCAGTTGGAGATCGCGTACCGGGACTTTCTGGTCGAATATGAGGCCCTCGAGCATATGGAGGAGGCCCCTCAGGCACCGCGGGATGGCGCGGTGTTCCTTCCGCACCACCCAGTGGTCAAGCGGAATGTGGACGGTGCGCCGCGCGTCCGCGTTGTTTTCAACGCCTCTAGCCCCACTTCCAACGGACTGTCGCTCAACGATCACTTACTGACGGGGCCGAAGTTGCAGCGAGACATCTTCTCGGTACTGTTGCGCTGGCGAGTCCCGCGATTCGCCCTCAAGGCCGACATCGAGAAGATGTTTCGGCAGATCCGCGTGCACGAGGAGGACGCGGATCTGCAGCGGATTTTATGGCGGCGTGGGCCCGACCAAGAGCCTCGCGAATTCCGGCTCACCACCGTCACATACGGAACGGCCTGCGCCCCATACCTAGCTCAGCGAGTCTTACTGCGGCTCGCCGAGGACGAGGGAGCGCACTTCCCTCGTGCACGAGCGATAATGCGCTCGAATTTCTATGTGGATGACGTTCTCTTCGGCGCTGACGGGGTGGAGGAAACCATAGCCTGCCGTGACGAGCTCACACGCCTCCTAGGGCGTGGGGGCTTCAGGTTAGGAAAATGGGCAGCCAACACCCCTCTGGTGTTGGCGAATAGCCAGAAGTCGGCGGCGGTGGACCTCACGGGGGCTGCCCAACAGCACCATCCCGTGTCGGGGATGGATTGGAGTCCGGGCTCCGGCTCCTTCGGGTTCACCGTCGTCCCAGACTCCGCTCCGTCGGTTACGAAGAGAGCGGTGCTATCGGTGATCGCGCGCTTGTACGACCCGCTGGGCTGGGCGGCACCGGCAGTAATCAGAGCAAAAATATTGCTGCAGGAGTTATGGTTGGGGGGTGCGGATTGGGACGCTCCGCTCCCGGACGAGCTCAACCAGACGTGGTGCGAACTCGTCGCCGAGTTACCGCTCTTAAGCGCCGCACTTGTGCCACGCTGGTTTGGCATCTTTCAATCTCCGCGCGAGGGGGAGCGATACGAGTTGCATGGTTTCGCGGACGCGTCTACGCGCGCGTATGGTGCGGTGGTGTACCTGCTAGCGCGACCGTTCCTGAGCGAACCCTCGGGAACCCAGGTGACCCTCGTCGCCTCGCGAACCAGAGATGCTCCCGTCAAGACCGTCAGCATTCCGCGTTTGGAGCTTTGCGCGGCGGCTCTCTTGGCCGAACTATTGCGGCGCGTCGCCGGCGAGATCCTCGAGGATCGCCTAGAGACCCACGCGTGGACCGATTCACGCGTGGTGCTCGCGTGGTTGGCCCGGACTCCCTCCACGTGGACCGTCTTTGTGGCCAATCGCGTGGGCCGCATTCACGAATTATTACCAGGCACGCCGTGGCGTCACGTGCCCACACGCGACAATCCCGCGGATTGTGCGTCCCGAGGACTGCTCGCCGGCGAGTTAGTCAACCACCCCCTGTGGTGGACGGGACCCCGGTGGCTATCGGGGCCGCGGTCCGGCTGGCCGCAGCCGTCGTGCAAAGCTCCCCCGAGCATCGAACAGGAGCTACGCGTCCAGACGGCTCGCGTAAGTGGCGAGGAGGAGACCCCCCTGGCTCCCCTCCCGTCCAGCGTTTCGTCCTGGGCGAGGCTCCTGCGCGTCACCGCAAACTGCTATCGGTTTGTCGCGGCCCTTCGTCGAAGGAGGAATAGTCCCTCGGATTGCGAGACGCCGATGCGGCGGGCGAGGATCTTGTGGCTCCGTTGGCTGCAGGGTGGCGCCTTCGCATCGGAGATCCGCGCCGTCCGAAAATCCCAATTCGTCGGGCGATCGTCGCCCTTGCGGCGGTTGAGCCCTTTTCTTGACGAGGCAGGATTGCTCCGCGTGGGGGGACGTCTAGACAACTCGTCCCGCGCGTACGACGAGAAACACCCCATCCTCCTCCCGAAGCACCCAGTGGTGGATCTGCTGGTGGAGGCTGTGCACCTCACGGCCCTCCACAGTGGACCCCAGCTCACCTTGAGCGTGCTGAGGAGGACGTATTGGCTTCTGGGAGCCCGAGACACGGTTAGGAGAGTGACCTGGAGGTGCGTAGCTTGCGCAAGGCATCGCGCATCTCCAGCGTCCCAACTCATGGGCACGTTGCCCTTATCGCGGGTGAACCCTTCGCGGCCCTTCTCGCACGTGGGCGTCGACTATGCGGGCCCCCTCTGGACCCGCATGGGGAAGGGCCGGGGTTATCGGGCCCAGAAGTCATATATCGGGGTGTTTGTGTGCTTCGCGACCCGCGCGATCCACCTCGAGCTGGTGAGCGACTGCACCACGGCGGGCTTCTTGGCTGCACTGCGGAGGTTCGTCTCCCGTCGGGGTAGGCCCACTGCCATTTATTCCGACAACGGAACGAACTTCCGCGGTGCCGCACGGGAGCTCGCAGCGATGGTTCGGGCGGTCCGCGACTCAGCCGAGGTATCGGCCTTTCTCGGAGAGGCCGACATCGTGTGGCATTTCTCCCCACCCGGAGCCCCGCATTTCGGCGGTTTATGGGAAGCGGGAGTTAAGGCGGTAAAACGCCACTTAGCACGGGTGGTTGGCCAGCACACCCTCACCTTTGAGGAGATGTGCACCCTGTTGTGCACCGTCGAGGCATGCCTTAATTCCCGCCCCCTAACACCGATGTCGAGCGATCCGACGGACTACGCGGCCCTTACACCAGGGCATTTCTTGACGGGAGCACCCTTGCTTACGCTTCCGGGAGAACGTTCGCCGGACACCGCCGCCTCCCCCTTGTCCCGTTGGCAAGGGGTCGAATCCATGCGTGCCAGTTTTTGGAATCAATGGAACCGCGAGTATCTCCATAGGCTGCAGGAGCGCAGCAAATGGTGGCGTGCCGAGAGGAACCTGCAGGTGGGACATCTCGTGGTTCTTCGCGACGCGAATTGCCCACCGACGTGTTGGCGTCTCGCACGCGTGGAGACGCTGCACCCCGGTGAGGACTGCCGAGTTCGAGTCGTAACCATCCGCACCGCCGGCGGATGTTACACTCGGCCGATCACGCAGCTCGTGCGATTGCCGGTGGACATGCCCGCTGGANCGTGCGATTGCCGGTGGACATGCCCGCTGGACCCTCCTCAGGACCGGAGCAGTAGCGAGGGAAGGCGAGCGTACATGGCGGGCGGAGCGAGCTCGCGAAATAGTTATTAAGATCAGCGGAGCTGAGGCGGGCGGTATGTTCCGGCCGAATCGCGGACCGCTGGTCAACGCACGTTCGACTTTCGATGTACGCCGTCTCGCCGCTTTTGTCGAATAAACGGCGAGGCGGCAAGACAATAACACGATCGACGTGCGTTGGCCCGACCGTCAAACGCTCGCCTCGGCCTAAATGTATACGCGGTGTTTTTGCCTTAGGAAGCAATGACCGGTCTTCGACGCCTGACGATGCTTCTCCTTGAACATCGGCTACGTGTCTATATATACTGCCGCAAATTTGATAACGGGGATTCTCCAAGATATCGTTATCGTTAACAGTCAAGTTTTATTTAGCGCCCCTTGCGCCCATACGAAGCCGTGCTTCAATTTTATAGTTCATACGAAGCCGTGCTTCAAATCATACGTCGAACGGAGCCGTGCTCCAAAGATTGTAAACCGAAGGACTTTGGAGTCCGAATCAATAAATCGTGTCGTCTCCTCACGACTTCCGGCGGTTTAATTTTGTGCCGTGCGCAACAAAAACATTATAGAACTTTGTTTATGACAAAAAACGTGTTAACACAAAAGTTGTGTACATCTTTTTTGAAATCTCAAAAACAAATGGTATTTTTTATGAAACTATTAACAAAACTCTCGAGGTTAAATTGGGGGTGTTCTCATAAATAGCTTTCACTTTTACTAGTATCATTAACCTTTCGCTGGGAAGTTGCACGGCCACCATGTGCACCGATGGTCGCTACAACGTCATTTTTTCTTCGACATGACTCCAGACTCATGTTTAATGGTTTATGACGTTGTATTATATACATAAATATTATTACTACATACATATTGTCACGTCGCGCGACTAAAGTGCACCCGAATTTGGTAGCTCACGCCTTGCCCGGTCGCAATTTGACACCATTTGAGCGCTCGGCCCTTTACTTTAAAATCCGAAAATGGTCGCAACAAAATTCATAATCGCGAAACACGAATCAGATGTTCACAAAAGAAACATGGGAATTATAGCAATGATCACTGAACGAAAAGCAATTTGAAAGAAGCTAATCAATTAGGAACATTTGTCGATCTAACGTTTGAACGAGCCAGGCTTTATCCTATTGAAACCTTCTACGTTATAGCACTCCCTGTCAAAGCTAACAATCACGCACCTATTGAACCCACAAATATTACAAATTGTCTGGCCTCTTCATTGGACGTAGCACAAGAATTACAACTGGAATCTTTTTCTATCCGTAAAACAGAAAATATAGAAGATATCCCTTGGAAATACGTATTAAATAAATTCAAACGAATATTTAGAGACCAAAAATCGATTTAAAGCGCTTATACGTGTCAACCTTCCTGCGCCCAAGTGACGCTTATACGTGACACTTATGCTGCGTCCAAGTGACGCTTATACGTGCCAACCTTCCTGCGACCAAATGCCACCATCTGGCACTTATCCTTTTTTTTTTATTTTACGTGGAGGAAATCTGCTCGCCAGACACCCCCGCCCCCCCCGGGGGAGCGGGGCGAGGGTAGTGTGGGGTTTGACCCACTAAAACCACCACGGCGACCTGAGGACGCTGATCAAATCACTGGCGCTCAGGGCCTCCACGCCTGCCTGGGCCCAGCCGACAGTAATCCGGCCCGCGACCGCAACCTTGCGAGCGGCCGCGGCAGGACACCGGACCCAGAGGGTGTCCAGTCCCGAGGGGGAAGACCGCATTTCGCCGTTATTAACGTCCCCCTCGCTGCATCCGCCCACGCGAGCAACAGCCGCAGCGACTTTTTTGACCAGACGCGCGACCTTCACGCCGGTTCCCGCCAGCGCTTCCGCCACTTTTGTGGCGAGGACGGTGGCCTTGGCGGTCCCATCGGTGCCAGGGACCTCCAAAATTATCCCCGCTGTCACCGCCCTCCGCGTCCTCAACACCGGCCAGGCAAACCGTTCGAGGCATTCGCTTAGCTCATGTATGCTCCGTCATCACGTTAATAGGTTTCCCTATAACAGTAGCCATCAGGGGGGCCAGGGAGTCTACCCCACCCGAAAGGCAGTCGTCGGATAACCATCGCCTGGGGCCCGCTCGCCCACGCTTGGACACGGCGGGCTCTGGGGGTTCCGAAGCCCCCTGAGCAGTAATCTCCATACTTTCTTTGGACATAATTCCATATAATCTTCCTTGGTCGCTCTTAGTTTTCACCGCTCGGATTGGACCTTACCGGCATGGGAGTCCCTGCCAGGAACCGAAGTTCCTGCCGCCATCGCTCCAGCCTTCATCGCGGATACTTAAGCCCCTATAGGGGCTTAAGGTGGCGACCGCATAGGAGTGGCTTCTATTCCTGTCGAAACATACGACTAAGCTTCAAATGTACCAGATACATCTGATTTAGCTTTAGATTCTGACGGTACATATGATATAGCTTGAAATTCAGCCGAAACATATGAATCAGCTTCTAATTTAGATTAAACTTACGATCGGCTTCAAATTCTGCAAAAACATATGGTTTAGCAACAAATTTAGACTAAACGTACGATTTGGCTTCAATTTCCGCCAAAACAAACGATACAGATTCAAATTTAGCAGATACATCTGATTTTGCTTCGGATACACCCGATATTTATGATGTAGCTTCAAATTCAGCAGAAACATTTAATTCAAATTTAAATTCGGCCTAAACATACATTTTGGCTTCGAGTTCTGCTGAAACATACGAGTTGTCTTCAAATTTATACTAAACGTACGATTTGGATTCAATTTCGGCCGAAACATACGATTAGGCTTCAAATTGAGCATATACACCACATTTAACTTCAGAATCAGCCGTTACTTATGATATTACTTCCAATTCAGCCCAAACATGTGACTTACTTCCTAATTTAGACGAAACGTAAGATTTGGCTTCAAATTCAGCCGAAACATATGATTTAACTTCTAATTTAGACTAAACGTACGATTTGGCTTCGAATTCTTCCGAGACATACGATTAAGCTTCGAATTTAGCAGATACAGCTGATTTAGCTTCAGATTCTGCCGATATTTATCATATAGCCTCAAGGTCACCCGAAACATATGATTTATCTTCGAATTTATACTAAACGTACGATTTGGCTTCTTTTCCTGCCGAAACATACGATTAAGCTTCAAATTTAGCAGATACATCTGATTTAGTTTCAGATTCACCCGATCCTTTCGATATAGCTTCAAATTCAGCCGAAACATATGATATGGCTTCAAGTGCTGCCAAAACATACGATTTATCTTTTAATTTAGCAGATACACCCGACATAGCTATTGATTCTGGCGATACTTCTGATTTAGTTTCAAAATCAGCCGAAACATATTATATAGCATCAAAATCGGCCCAGACGTACGACTTGACTTCAAATTCTGCCGAAACATGCATTTTATCTTCAAATTTACACTAGTCGTACGATTTGGATTCAAATTCTGCAAAAACGTATGGTTGTACTACAAATTTAGACTAAATGTACGATTTGGCTTCAATTTCTGTCGAAACATACTATTTAGCTTCAAATTTAGCATATACACCTTGTTTTTTCACGTTTTCCCGGCGAGATCAGACAGTGAAACTGTTAGATCTGCGGAGGTCGTAAGTCTCCGATTCAATCGTGTATGACACCGAGTCTGCGCGATTCCCTATGACTCTTTCGAGTGATACGGATAATAGGTTGATAAAGAATGGTTTTAACACTGGCTGATATCAATAACACTATATTTTAATATAACATAACAACTTTTAATACTAGGGTGACTAACTGTACTTGGCTTAGAATGAATTGAGTTGATGGTGAGACTATCGACGGAGTCTTGACCGATCGTCTTTACGCGTTGGTGTCTGGATAGTATCTGTCTGTTCGTTGTTTGTTTTGCCTTTTAAGAAGATTCGTTAGGGGTGTGAAGTTTTTACTAAGACACTCGGATTGGATGTTTTTCAAGTTCTCCGGATCTAGAAAGGGAAGCGGTCGTTTTGAGTGATTGGTCACAAAATTGTGAGCAAGGGGAAATGTGACTGCCCCGAACTAACAGTCACTTGCAGGTATGAATTGTACCTGCGAGTGAATCTCGCGAAGAATCCGCGTATCTCGAAGGTTGACCGTCGCAGGTAATAAGAGTAGAGAAAAGATATTGCCTTGGGTAATTGGTGTTGTGCAGAAGGTAAAGGGAATACGTGACGGTGAGAGAATTTTGGTGACCAGATGTAGGCAGCGTTGAAGGAAATATTACAGGCAGGAAATAACGGCTTTTCGGATAATTAGATACTATTGCTACGGTCGCTTATTTGTTTGTGGAAAGACGCTTGCAGTACAAATGGGGTCGTTTGGTAATTTTTGGAATCTATTGTATGGTAGGTATGGTGTTGGGTCGAGCGGTCGAGCCGCGTATGCTTTATTAAGATAGAATGCTAAATTTGAAACTAAATGGTAAGATTCGGCAGAAATTGAATCCAAATTGTACGTTTAGTCTAAATTTGATTACAAATTGTATGTTTTGCGGAAATTGTAGCTAAATCATATATTCCGGCTGACCTTGAAGCTATATCATAAGATTCGTGTGAATCTGAAGTAAAATCTGCTGTATCTGCTAAATTTGGAGATAATTTGTAACATTCGGCACAATTTGAAGCCACATCGTACTCTTAATCTAAACTTGAAGCTAAACCATATGTTTCGGCAGAATTTGAAGCCAAATCTTACGTTTAGGCCGACTTTGGAGCTGTATTATATGTTTCTGCTGAATTTGAATCTATATCATAAGTATCGGATGAATCTGCAGCTACGTGAGATGAATCTGCTAAATTTGAAGCTGAATCGAAAGTTTCGGCTAAATTTGAAGCTATATCATTACTATTGGCTGAATCTAAAGCTAAATCAGCCGTATCTGCTAAATTTGAAGTTTAATCGTATGTTTCGACAAAATTTGAAGACAAATCGTACGTTTAGTCTAAATTAGAAACCAAACCATATGTATCGGCTGAATATGAAGCGATATCATTAGTATCAGTAGAATCTGAAGCTAAATCAGCTGTATCTGATAAATTAGGAGATTAATCTTATGTTTCGGCAGAAACTGAAACCAAATCCTACGTTTAATCTAAATTTGAGTCTTACGTTTCGGCAGAATTTGAAGCCAAATCGTATGTTTAGTCTAAATTTGTATTAAATCTATATGTTTTTTGGAGAATGTGAAGCCAATCGTACGTTTAGTCTAAATTAGAAACCAAATCATATGTATCGGCTGAATTTGAAGCTATATCATTAGTATCGGTAGAATCTAAAGCAAAATCGGCTGTATCTGCTAAATTTGAAGCTTAATCTTATGTTTCGGCAGAGATTGTAGCCAAATCGTATGTTTATTTTAAATTTGTAGTTAAACCATATGTAATTGCAGAATTTGAAGCCACATCGTATGTTTAGTCCAAATTGGAAGCCAAATCATATGTATCGGCTTAATTTTAAAGCCATATCATATATCGTGTGAATCTGCAAAATTTGAATCTAAATCGTATGATTCGGCAGAAATTGAAGCCAAATCGTACGTTTAGTCTAAATTAGAAGCTAAGTCATATGCTCCGGCGGAATTTGAAGCAATATTATAAGTATCGGCAGAATCTGAAGTCAAATCTGGTGTATATGCTAAATTTGAAGCTAAATCGTATGTTTCGACAGAAATTGAAGCCAAATAGTACGTTTAGTCTAAAATTGAAGCTAACTCATATGTCTCGGCTAACCTTGAAGCTATATCGTAGGATTCGTGTGGATCTGAAGCTAAATCGGCTGTATCTGCTAAATTTGGACATAAATTGTATCTTTCGGCACAATTTGAAGTCACATCGTACGTTTAGTTTAATCTTGTAGCTAAAGCATATGTTTTGGCAGAATTTGAAGGCAAATCGTATCTTTAGCCCGAATTTGAAGCTGAATTATATGTTTCGGCTGAATTTGAAGCTATATCATAAGAATCATGTGAATCTGAAGCTAAATCTGATGTTTCTGCTAAATTTGAAGCTGGATCATATGTTTCAGCTGAAGTCGAAGCTGAATTATATGATCCTGCTGAATTTGAATATAAATACCTTCTGTCTAGAATCTATTCTCTTCTGTAGAATCTATATAGCTGCTATATATAGCAAGACGATTAAAAATCTACTAGAAGAGAGAACACTATACGAGACAAAAGTCTTCTATGGAGCAAATAATATCTATAAAGAGAAAATGGCTCAGATGAGGATGGTTAGTATCGAAGAGGTGGAGAGAACAAGAAAGATCCCTTCAATGAAAGTGGATATGATGCGTCTTGAGGCAGTAATCAAAGCAGTAGCTTGCCATGTTAGAAAAATCCCGCTCCAAAATATTACGGATATAGCGCGAATACTTCAATCGGCCCAAGCCTGCTATCAAGAGATTACGAAAAAGGAGCCAAAGGTGTCAAAAGGGAAGGAAAATATAACTATGAAAATCGATGCACTTAAAGATAAGAGCTGAAAGACAAGGAGAAGACTACTATAAAAAAAATAATGAGAGAACTAAACCTCAAGGCATGTTTAGGTCGGGACTTGACTGAAGCCATAACAAAACTTGGAGAAAAAGCTGCTATATATCAGAAAAAGCTAGAGGTATCTGAACAAAGAAGAGAGTATAGACGACAAAACCAGAGCATTGAACTGTATAGAAGTAATTTTTATAGAAACCTTGAGGAATCGGAAGTCGTAGTGCATCAAGTGAAAAATGAAGAAATAAAGAATTTTTGGTCAAAGATGTGGGAAGAAGATAATGAAGAGATGAACGAAACAGATCTCAAAGAATACTTATTTGAGTTTATACCTGCAGAAAATGAAGTAAATATATTTCTATCATACAATGAGTTTACTGAGATAATCAAATATCTTCCCAACTGGAAGGCAGCTGGCTGCGATGGAATATATAACTTCTTCATTAAAAAATGTGAGCCATTGCATCCATTCCTTCACGATATAATGAGAGAAATGTGCATAGAAGGCAAAATTAGAGAACCATGGCTTTACAAGCGAATAACATACCTAATACCTAAAGGAACTCTTACAAAAGGTGGGGAATTTAGACCAATCACCTGTATGTCAAACCTTTATAAGTTGATGACGAAANGAATAACATACCTAATACCTAAAGGAACCCTTACAAAAGGTGGGGACTTTAGACCAATCACCTGTATGTCAAACCTTTATAAGTTGATGACGAAATATGTCACTAAAATACTTCAAGTAATCGTGGATAATCGTGGAATGCTCGCAGAGAACCAACTAGGAACACTTAGAAAAGTCCAAGGAGCAAAAGAACAAGCACTTTTGAATAAGGCCATCAATATTGAACATAAAAATAAACTATCTATCATGTGAATTGATGTTAAGAAAGCATACGACTCAGTAAAGCATAAATGCCTTACAGCTTGTTTAGAAAGGCTTAATCTGCCAAAGTGGATAGTAAATTTCCTTAAAGGAATAATAAATAAATAGACTATTAAAGTGAAATCAGGATGCGAAACGATAGAGAGGAATACTTCAAGATGATAACCTCTCCCCGTTATTATTTGTACATTGTATTGGTCCCTTGAGCAGAAAGCTCAATTCAAAGTTTCCTAAGGTTGGAATAAAGACTAGGGAAGAATTCTTTAATACGAACCATCTTCTGTTTATAGATGATTTAAAACTTATTTGTGAAAAAGAGGAAACATTATTAGTATTGAATGAGGAGACGAAGAAGTTCTTTAAAACGATAGGATTGGAGGTAAATCGAGAGAAATCTGCAACCAACAGTGAAAGGTGTGAACAAGATGCATTCAAATCAGAAGGGACACAGGGGTAGAAATACCTAGGAATAACGGAGGATGCAACAAGTGCAGTAAAAAAGGAAACGTTTGAAAAAGTAAAAGCCGAAGTTTTAAAAAGAACTGAGACAATATGCAAGACAAAGCTAAATGGAAAAAACATGATTAAAGCGATAAATGAATTTGCGATCTCAGTAATAAATTACCATATTGGCGTAACACCATATCCACCTACAGCCAACCTATAAAGAAACGCTACACCTTCCAAGAACAGAAATGGGTAGGGGTCTCATTAATGTAGAGCATAGAAGCGAATACATGCTGTTTAATATCAACCAAAACTTTAATGAAACAAGAAACAATAACTTAAGATGCTCGGCAATACTTAAAGTGGAAGAAGAAAATGAGACACACCTTGCTGCAGTAGACAAATACCTAAATATTAAGTACGGTAAACAAATGTTGTCAGTACGAGATATCTTAGAAGTTCAAAAAGAAACATTATATAACAAAATTAAAAATAAAAACAACCATAGAAAGTTGTATAATGTAAGGGATAACGAGCTAGTGAGCATTAAAGGCTCGCCGACTTGACTGGCTAAAGGGAATAATCAGGCTAGATCTGAGGCAACATACTGCTCCCTTCAAGACAGAAATATCTTTCGCGGTCAGGAGACTATATGTCCCCACTGCAAAAAACAAAGGAAAACAGTAGATCATCTAGCAACTAAATATGAATGTATGNGTTTGACTATACAAGAAGACATAATGAGGTTGTTAGATGTATCCACTTACTTCTTTGCAAAAAATACGGATTTAAAAAGTCCAATAAAATTAGATCACATTCCGTACAGGAGATCCTTAAGAACGAGAATGCAGAAATAAGGGCAGACACTCGGATATCTACAGATATTAAAGTTACTCACAACAAGCCTGATATCTTGGTAATTGATACGAAAAAAATTGAAGTAATTATTATAGAGGTAGGAATAACAAATCAAGATCTGCTTAAAGCTAAGAAAATACGACTTACTAGCTAATGAACTTGGGATTATTCACAAGTCTAGAACCAAGATTGTTCCTTATGTAATGACTTGGGATAACTAAGTTCCACAAAAAATATTTGTATGAGCTGAGGATACAGGACTCCCTTGAAGCATATATTCAATCCGTGGTGCTGAAGAAAACCCTTGAGTCTATCTGAATTGAGCGAAGACGAGGGCTGTATCAGGATAGCTTTGGTGAAGAGGAGATTAAGAGAGCTGTGGAAGAACTGGTGCAAGCTCCAGGTGGTAAGGAAGTAACACAATGATCAACATGTCATTTAAACTAACCTATTAAATCTTTGTTATTATATTTGGCTACCGAAAAACTCAAAGTATAAATTTTCAATATGATAGTATCATTTATATGTTAGATATA